GCATATTGTAGGAGATGATGAATAAATGAGGAAGATATTTATCAATTTGCACAAAAGGAAAACTGATCACTTTACAGCAGAGAAACCCAGCAGACACCATCTTAATCAAGTGATTAAGGTTAATATAACGAGTGATAAGATACACCAACATCAGGTACTCTCAGATATCATGCACATCTTTCCTGTGTTTTTTTTTTTTTTTTGCCAAAAATGCACAACCCTAATCCAATCATAAGAAAGCATTTGACAAACCCAAATTGAGAGGCACTCTACAAAATAACTGACTGGTACACATCCAAAGTGTCAAGGTCAGTAAAGACAAGGAAAGACTGAGGAACTGTCACAGATTGGAGGGGACTAAGGAGATAGGACAAATAAGTACAACGCGGGATCCTGGATTGGATCCTGGAATGGAGAAAGGACATTGGGGGAAAATTGGTTAAATTCAAATAAGGTCTCTAGTTTAGTTAATATATTGTACTGGAGTTAATTTCCTGGTTTTGATAACTGGGCTACATAAGGTAAGTCGTTGACATTACCGGAAGCTGGGTGAAGGGTATGCTGGAACTCCTTGTACTATTTTTAAAGATTTTATTTTATTTCATCTTATCTTACCTTATTTTATTTTAGATTTATTTATTTTAGGGAGAGAGTGAGTGAGCCGGGGGAGGGACAGAGGGAGAACGAGAGAATCTCAAGCAGACTTTTCACCGAGCACGGAGCCCAGTGGGGAACTCAATCCCAGGACCCGGATATCATGACCTGAGATGAAATCAACAGTCAGCTGCCTTACCTCTGAGCCACCCAGGTGCCCCTAATCCTTGTACTACTTTTGCAACTTTTCTGTAAGCCTCAAATTATTCCAAAATAAAATATTAAAAAAGTTAGGTTGAGCTATCAATGTGTATTTGTTTTGGTTCTAATTGTAATTCCACTTTTCTTTCAAAAAAAGTTTTTGAAACGTCCGAAATGGCACTGACTTTTACCAAAGATATTTCCTTTTCAAGGTCAGTATTCCTGAAGATAGAGATCCTCAGGTAAAATATGATTTTCCTGGAATCTGAGGATGACAGGTGCTATTTATGTATCTTTATAGTGCAAGCAGATCTCTCTGATAAAGCTTAGAAATGGTTCTGAGTCTTGCATAATCCAGTGACCCTTGGGATTAGGTTGCTAGGTCTTCTGCTCCCAGCAAGTTTTCCCTTAGCAAACAGGGATGACATAAATATTCAGTCAAATTTTAAACTGGTGAAAATGACTGTGACTAGTGAGACATAGTACAGAATATACAGGTGACTCAGGACAATCTGACCTACAAGGGTGGATTCACATCTGTGTGCTGACACGACAGGTTCCACTTGTCAAAATGTGATTACACTTGTGATCATGTGCGATGTCTGAAGACATCACGTGGAGCTAGTTTATGTGCATTCTGGACCCAGTTTCCATCTTTTAGGAATGTAGATGGGTTGACATGGCTGTCCTCCGACAATGTCCGCTGCCAAGACCTTTGCCAGGAAATTTTTGTTACAAAACTACTCAGCGTGGGGAGTAGAGGGGGCAGATGTAATGGGCGTCGATACGCCATAATGAAATGATTGCAGCATTTACATCCTTCCTGGATAACACGTGGCTGATGTCACCCTGCTTCAAGTACAGAGGGGACAGAGCAAGACATCATGACATCGTCGGAGCAGAATACACGACAATAACAATCTTGGCTATGGAAATGATCACAAAGATTCTAGTGTGGTATTTTTAGGGATGATCTTTTGTTAAATGTAAGGGACATGCCCTGAAAGTATCAGGATATGTCAGTGGCAAACTGTCATATTGAGAAATTGGCAAAGAACAGGTTAAGCAATATTTTGGAGAGAATTTTTAAATCAACATGCCAAGCAGGCTAGGCAATTGAGTCAAAACCAGCTGCATATCAACATGACATGAGACCTTTTTATGTAGCTGGAAATCAGTCTGTGGGCCGCACTGTCTAGAGCTCTATCTGAAGATGGTGCAGCCTTCGTCAGTGAACACTCAACATTCACTTCAGCACAATGCATGATTAGCCATCAAGCTCGCCCTCCTTATTTTTACAATTCCTCATTATGAGGTGAGTATAGAACACTGTGTGTATTGTGCCTATTATGAAGGCAAAGAACCATCATCATCTGGTAATGTACCTAGTGCTAATGGAATCCTTAGAAAAACAAAACATGGAACACCAAAAGCAGCAGCCCAAAACTCATCAAATGATTGCTTCAATTATTTAACCACTCACGGAAATAGAGTGCACAGATGGATTTCAAAGGTGTTCCAATGATACAACCTCAAGGAGAGTAGCAAATGCTGCAATAAACATTGAGGTATGTTATTTGTGTATTTTAGACAGGGTCCTCGTACAATCCACACAGGTCAATTACCCTCAACTTAGTATAGCGTTCATGCATATTGTGGATAAGGAATAATATAAAAGCAGAGAACCACAAAGCTTTTGGGCAGACATGGAACTGGGATGAATGTGCTGTCTAAATGGCAAATTAATTAACTGTTTGAAAGGCTTTGTGTATTTGAAATATTAAAGTTTTCATTAAAATTTGAAAATGTGAGGATTATATAAATTGTCTTTACCCTGTATGACTGGTCATCAAGATATCAACATAAAACGCAAAACATCAAACGCAAAAATTATTTTTAAAACACTGGATGCAGTGAGTAGACAGTATAGTTAAATAATTAAGTGGTTTATTAATATTCATTGGCCATTATCTATGTAGTCTCTGAATTAAACATTTTCCAACCTTCAAAGTGGTAGTGCAGCATGTGTTTTGTTAACAATTCCTTTGCTTATTATTTTCTTCAAAATGTTTCCTTTATGGCACTTTAAGTACAAGAACTGACCTAAAATATACCACTGATTGGGAGGATCGCCTATCTCCTTTCACCGGATGTCTGCAAAGAAAGAATTTACAAAGCCTGCAAGGACCTCTCGATCAAAGAGTAAACTATAGGGGCGCCTGTGTGGGTCAGTCGTTAGGCAATTGCTATTGGCTCAGGTCATGATCCCAGGGTCCAGGGATGGAACCCCGAAGCGGCATCCGGCTCCTTGCTCAGCGGAAAGCCTGTTTCTCCCTCTCCCACTCCCCCTGCTTGTGTTCCTTCTCTCGCTGTCTCTTTCTTTGTCAAATAAATAAATAAAATCTTTAAAAAACAACAACAAAGAGTAAACTATAAAAACAGTGATACTTAGCTTGAAGAACTAATATGACACTCATGGCAACTGGATTTGGGTATGTCCATTTGGAATATGAGTTTGTGGAGTTCAACAATAAACCCTAACTAAATAGAGCTGTTTTGAAGATACTCCTCCTCATGCTATCTCCATAATAATCCTGGAAAGTAGGTAGAGATAAAGGAACGTAAGCCTTATCAGAAAAAGTAGCTAAGGTCAGACACAGTAGCAAGGCTGGGACTGTCCCCCAGATCTCCTGAAACAACATATGTACAGTGCCTCGTGTTATCCCAGACCCTCTCGTTGGACTGAATGAAAGACATCTCCTGTTTCCCCCCACCCCAACTAGCCCAGTGCTCTTTTCTTCTTCAAGGCATTGCTGGGTAATGCAGCAGGAGATTTCAATAATACACAAAATAATTGTAGATGAAACTCGAATGATAGTGAGATGTAGAGAATAAGCCCTATAATCATATCTTCTGCAAATAAGGGCAATTCAGACATTCTCAATGGCAAAAACTACTGTTTTTTTTTTACAATAACAAGTTTCCGTTCTTAACTTGGGAGGATCCCAAATGAAAAGTAGTAGCCACAAAATAAGTTAAATTAACTAGCTACGGAGAATGTCACTTGATGAAATGTTTTCTGAAGAAATGATCACATAAAGGAATACATCTCTGTCAGCCAATGCAGCCATAAATAAAAATGTTAATGAGGTAAAATTGGTCATGATGAGGCTAAAACATATCAAGAAATTAAACAGGTTCTTATTAGGCTTTATTCACTTTCACGTATTTTGAAAAAAAATTCTCAAATGCATCGTAGCAAATCTTATTAAACTAGGAATCAATTACCATTTTTCTTACTTCTGTGCTTTAATTTATACATCTTTATCCTTAATTTAAAGATAACTATGAATAAAACATGAAAGTCAGTGCATTTTCTTGTTCTGCAATCACATATGTTCTATTCTACATAATATCTCGTTTGCTCTCGTATTTTGGTTATAGTCTAGTACATAATATTTGGGTTTGATGACCTTGGCAGTAAGACTTGCCTTATAAAAGGTACTCAGAAATTTGAAATTAGTTAATCTATTCAGGAAGAGAATTAAGTGAACCTAGTTTGGTACCCGTGTTCAAGTTAAAGGTTCAAAATATACTTTAACTAAGTATTCTAGGGGCCCTTGGCTGGCTCATTCGGTAGACTGTGTGACTCTTGATCTCAGGGTTGTGAGTTCGAGCCCTGCACTGGGTGTAGAGATTACTAAAATAGATAAACTTTAAAGGCCATTTTCCTCCTGGATGGTGAGATTTTCACCTTATACTCTTTGAGTTTGACTTCACTTGTCCTCTGAAAGCTGCCTGGTCCCTGCCAAGTGTTATTTTGATAACATAGTTAATAGGGCTATAATTCAGTAAACGGCTTCTTTAGGCTCTACAAGAATTATGATCACTGTATTCAACATATAAATCCTATACAAAAAAGTAAAGTATGGCGAGGCTGCAATTTCTCATTCCTACAAAAATTCTTTCATTTTTTTTTCCTTCAAGTCTATCTTAATCAGCGGGCTTTGAGGAGATGAGATGAGCTATAGTCTGGCTTAGTTCTACAAGCACAGAGTCTATATCCTGTCTTAAAGCAAACAAACAAACAAAACTTACCACTTCTGTGCTGTTACTAACGTCACTAACTTCAAGGCATATCATATTTCAAAACACACAGACATCAACAAATTTAAACAAAACATATGCGTGTAGATGGGACTCACCTTTAAGGAATCAAAACACGCCACCACTCGGCCATTTTCCACGTGGCAGACTCTCGGCGGATGGGCGAACTTGCAGTCTGCATCGGCTCGAGAGCAGGTTCCTCTCTGAAATTCTCTGCAGACTTCTAAAGTCAGCCACTGGGTGTCTCGAACCAGGGTGACATTGACCGCCGTCATATTGAAAGCGAAGTTAGAATCAAGTGCACCCTCTTTAGGACAGTTTCAGTGCTGTTAAAAGGTTAAAAGTGAATTCAAGCTAGATGCGAAGTGATGAGGTTGCTTTGCTGAAATGCTTCTTTGTTAGCACTTAGGTTTTCGTCCCAGCCAAAATTTGGTCTGATCAAACAAAAAGCCAGTCGCAAAATAAAAATCGTATCAGAATAGCTAAAAATTAAATGAGAGACCAACTCCTAAGAAGGCAACCAGAAAGGTTAAGATATTGAGTGTTTAATTTGTTCCTTTGCCAAAGTTACTTCCAATAACTGGCAGGCTTTCAAAAGAATTCTGTGCTCTTTAGCTGATGTTTTCAATTATTCTTGCAAAAAGCATACACTGCTCGTTGCCCTTCAATTTGTGGAATGGTCTCAGATCAAGGGGAGAAATGTTTTTCTCCCTATTTCTAGGATTTAATGATTAAGATTGGTAAGGATGGGACAACTGTAAAAATAAAACGTGCTGCAAAGTCAGGAGGAGGGAAAAGGGCTAGGAAAACTGGGAATCAAAGGGAAAAGAGAATGGACAAGTTGTTGAGACTGAACTACAAGCAAACCAGGTTTGGGGGCTGGGGAGGGAGAGGGGTTTGTAAGCAAACAGCTCTAGAGGGGAATTGAAGCAGCAGCGTTCAGAAAAGGCACTTTTCAGAAACCTGCAAGAAAAAAAAAATAAAATTAGCTAATAGAATGCAATATTTCAGTTTTAAACTCCAGATTTGGAAACGAAGTACCCTATCCTGTTTAAAACAGGAAGCGTCTAGATATTGACAGTGCAACACAATACAGCCAACCCTTGTGAATAAAAAGAGCATTTCCCAGTGTAGAGTAAAAGGAGGCAGCTACATAAATTTACTGTTGAAATACAAGCCCAGTTGGGGCACCTGGGAGGCTCAGTTGGTTAAGCGGGGGACTCTTGGTATCAGCTCAGGTGATGGTCTGAGGGTCCTGGGATGGAGCCCCTCCTCCAGCCCCGTGTGGGTCTCTGCGCTCAGCAGCAGGGTCTGCTCAAGGGTTCTCTCTCTCCCTCTGCCCCTCCCCTTGCTCGTTGGCTCACATGTTCTCTCTCTCTCTCTAAAATAAATAAATAAATCTTAAAAAAGAGAAAGAAATACAAGCCCAATTAAAAAGGAGAAAAGATGTCTTCATTTTGTTTGGGGACAGAAATTCATTTAGGGGTTCACCGCACAGAAAATGCCCGAGCAGGACAGGACAGCCCCTCAGTTTCTAGAGGCTAGAGAAGACCCGTCATTAACCTGGCTTCGCTGTGGTCTGATCGAAGGCTTGCTTATCTGCTCTCAAAATCCAGCACAGGAATTGCTGAGAAAATGTAAGTTGCTCTTACATTTTGAAATGTAGTTGTTGAGGATCACAGCAAATGGTCAGGAGGTAACTGGCCAGACTCCGATCTTGGATGAGGTGGGGGAGGGGATGTAAAATGGGCTTCAGATAAAGAAAAAAAAATTCTCTGAGAAGATGCTAGGGGTTTTTTTTTTCTAATATTTTATTTAGGGGTGCCTGGGTGGCTCAGTGGGTTAAATATTTTATTTATTTGAGAGAGGGATAGTGAGAGAAGAGTATGAACAGGAAGGAGGGGGAGAAACAGAATCCCTGCCTAACAGGGAGCCCGACTCAGGACTCGATCCCAGGATCCCAAGATCATGACCTGAGCTGAAGGCAGACACTTAACAGAGTGTGCCACCCAGATGCCCCTGGGTTTTTTTTTTTTTTTTCTGTGTATGTCCCATTAGTTCCTAGTCTCTGTAGAGGGTACTACAACTTAACACAGGAGGAAGTTTCAGCATATACAAGTAAGCGAGACAGAAAGCAGTCTTCAGTTATACATTAAATACCAGACAGCTTTAAGGTTTGCAGTTTAACCCAGCATCAACTGGCAATAATCTTTAGCAACTCAGCTGAGAGAACGGATAAAAGGTTAATTTATTGGCGTCATGCCACAACGTGTATCGAAATAACAGGAATTTTCTAAAATAAAAGTAAGCTCTGAGTATCAGTCAAATCAACCAGGGGTCAACGTCATCAAAAAAGTAGGATTCAAGTTCTTAAAAACATTTCATTAAAATTTTTTTGAAGATTTAGCTATTCATTTGAGACACAGAGAGAACACAAGCAGGGGGAGAGGCAGAGAGAAGGAGAAGCAGACTCCCCACTGAGCTGGGAGCCTGACGTGGGGCTTGATCGCAGAACCTGGAGACCATGACCTGAGCAGAAGGCAGACAGACACCAAACCATCTGAGCCACCCAGGTGCCCCATTTCATTTAAATTTCTGAATAGGATCTTTTACAACTCTACAGAATCTGAATCTTCCATTTGTCTTTCCGCAGTCAAGATGAAACTCAATACCACCTAATATCACTGGGAAATTAAATATCTAGAAAATTCAGGCAAGCTTATCCATCCAAGGGCAAATACATATTTCTCTGAGTCATCCTTCACAGAACCCTTTCTAAAACGTATTATAGCTATATTTGCCTTCTTACAAAATACTGAGCATCATTTGACCTCTAGTGGAAGACTTGGGGTCATAAACGTCATAGAAAGTATTACAGTTTCCCTCCTTTGGTGGCAGATTGTTAATGGCCACTTCTACTGTCACTTGTCTTCCTGCCACAGCACCTGCCATAGGTGTCCAGCTCCCTTCTGGAAAACATAACAGCCAATCATGAATGTTGAATAAGAGTTACTCACTGAATGGTGGGCCTCGGGGGGGCAAAGTGCAAGGTTTTCTGGTTTGGGGACCTTTTGCAATATGTTCCATACAGGCTCATGTCCTAGAGGGTTAAGGTTGTCAGGCAAATGACCTCTAGGAAAATATTTACCATATAATTTTTAAATAGCCAGATGGGGAAATGTAAATGAAAACCACAGTCAGATACCGCTTTGCCGGCATTAGGATGGCTACGGTGAGAACCAGAAAACTTGGAGAAATCGGAACCCAAGTGTCCACGGATAGATGAATGGATATGCAAGAGGTAATAATACCTGCAAAGTGAGTCCATCATTAAAAGGAACAAAGTACTACTATGTGCTACAACATCGATGAACCTTGAAAACACTATGCTTAAGTGGAAGAAGCCAGTCACCAAGGCCACATAGTATGTCTCCATTTAGATGAAACATCCACAGAGTCAGAAAGCAAATGAGTGGTTGTGAGGACTCTGGGGAGAGGAGAAAGTGAAGTAACTGCTTCATGGGTCCAGGGTCTCCTTGGGGAGTGAGGAAAATATTCTGGAATTAGATAGTAGTGATAGGTGCACAATTTTTTAATATACTAAAACCCGTTCCCTAAATTGTACACTTTAAATGGGTGAATTGGATAGTATGTGAATTACATACATTAAAAAGAAAAGTCTAAAGAAACACTGCATCCCCCTCCCCAGCAAAAAAGCCTCCCGAGTGATAGGACTGGCTACCCCAAGCTTTCTTTTTGGATTCTCCCTAGACACAAATTCTACATAGTGTTCCTAAGTGGAATTTCAAGCGCAAATTAGTTTCCATACGGTAGTTGACTTAGTGTAGTATGGAAAATACTCTAAAAGAGAACATTCTGCAAGTTTGTAAATTTATATTTAAAGATATATTCAAATTTAGTCCTGCAACTAAATTATATAGGCTGTCTAAATACATGTGAATGAAAAACAACCAAAAAGGAATATATATGTATATAATATATATAATATATAACATATAACCATATATATCATATAATATATATATATATATATATATATATATATATATGTAAAATTCGCTAAGAACATAAACAGTGAGGGTCTGGAAAAAGATTTTTCTACAGAAATCCATCAAATATAGAAACAGGCAATAAATAATAAATTTGAATTGAACTTTTGGAAAAGAAAAAAGCAAACAAGACCTGGACTCTGGCCATGTATTTTATGTAAGATGGAGCAGTGAGAGAAGGAATTTTCTTTTTTTGTTTGAAATTGGCCTGCAATCTCTGATGGGACCCTGGCCAATACTTCAGAAACAGTCCTAGCCAGCGCATGTCTTCCTGCAGACTTGGAACAGGTTTTGGAGCTGGTGCAGAAGCAGCGAGGCGTAGCAGCTACAGGGAGAGTAGCTCTCTCGAGGAGCTCAGCTTGTCTGGCTATATATGCAAGACAGGGAGTGGGCCATTTTCCCTTGTATTTTAAAGAAGGTCAACTTTGTCAGGGGGACAATACAGCTCTATCTTCACTACCTTACACTTGAGTAACAGGGATATAATTTTTCTTTTTATGATTGATCGTCCTCTAATGTAAAGCATGAAGAACCACCATTTCTTAGTATATTTATACTTGTATAGTATTTGCTAGTTTTATTTCCTTGATCTTGGGAGCTCTAAAGAACACTCTGAAACATGGGTGATCACCCAAAAATACCAATGAAGACATGAAACCCAAACAGGCTAAAAAGTTTCTACAGTTAGAAAGCCTTAGGTGGTAGAGCCAAGACTTGAGGCAAGATCTCCTGCTCCCAAATCTCATGCTTAGATCCTGGCAGAGAAATGTCTTATCTCTTCTCTCTCTGGGAACCTTAAACATGGAAAGCTAGTCATTTTTGCGTAGTACTCATGACTCCTTCTCAAAATTACGTTTACGTCTGTTGTATCAACATCTTCTTCATTTCCCCGAGTTGAGCTGCACCAATGTCTAGCCAGCACCTACTATGAGCCAGATGCTGTTCTAGATGTTGAACAAGATAGGGTCCCTGCTGACATGGGACTTCCTATGCTCATTTAACTAGAGAAGAAACCTAAGGTACCAGGAAGTGAAATGATTGTGAGAGTTTATGAAGGGCTGGAGGCAGACGCTAGGTCTTCCGACTGTGGCGGAGGCTAATTCACCATGAATGGGCCATCAAGCCCCATGACTTAAGAACACTTTTAAGTACACACTCAAACACTACTGCATCAAAGTGCAGCCCCAGAAGGAAGACCTCAGAATTACTCACACCAGGTGGTACTGCTCCCTGGATTCCTCTTGGTGGAGGAGGTACTACTGTCTCATTTTACAGATGGGGAGGAGAGAGGTAGAGGAAGATTCATTCATTTAATTTGTACAACTTTGTGTAGCCTGTAGATGACCAAACCATGGTTCAAACCCAGGCAGCCTGAGTCCAGAGTCCCCTCTTAACCACATCACGATACTGTGTCTGTCTTAGGGCACATAGTGCATTCGTAAACACTCTTCTTCATTATAGACCCTTAAATTTTCTCCCTTACTAGATTGTACATTCCTTGAGGGTAGAGATCACGTCTTACTTAGTTTTGCTGGCTCAGTCTTCTCATGGGAATTTGGAGCCATGCAGCATTCCTCAGGATTCCTATTTTGAGAAGTCAAAGGGTAAATGGGAATTTAACATTAACCCTCTGTTTACCTTGCTGGCAAGTTTTGTCAGTTGAACTCTGTCTAGGTTG